AAAACAACATACTCCAATCAAACTATTTTTCCATGAAATAATGAAATACCAAGCAGGTGACCAAAATATTAAATATCAGGTCATGTAAACGTACAGCTAACTAGGCATAAACAGAAATAACAGAGAAGAAAAGGGCATTACAAAACAGATTTAGTGTAGTCAGATGAAAATAAACACTTAGTGTGTTTATAAGAGAAGAGTTGCAGTCACAAAGATGAGGACTGAAAGAAAATGAAAGTACCTTGAAATTTGTAAAAGTCAGCATATGGAAGTGAAAACTAAAATGAACAAAACTAAGGTTCTAGCTGATGATCTGAAATATTAAAATTAAGAAAATACCCAGAAGACAATAAAAGCAAAACACAAAGGGAAGGATAATAACCTCATAATACTTTTTGATAAAGGTAAGATTCAGGATTCCACAACTGATAGAATTAAGAATATCAGCTGAAAAGAACTGAGCATGAAGGAAGAGACAATGAAAAAAGAAATTAAAAATTACCTTCAGCTAAAGAAAGACACGTCTTCCTATTAAAGACACAGATGCTGAATATATATCAGTTAAGAAGAGTCAAGTCCTGTAAAGTTTCAAAACTTAACAGACAAAGAAAAATTCCACAATCTTCTACAGAGAGAATAAACACATAGTAGGAATCTGATTGACATCTTCTTGTCACAACACTGTGTGCTAACAAAACAACATGAGGAAAAAAATACCTGTGGACATATTGTGAAAATTCTGGGACCCTGTTGCAGAAGGCAAGAAAACACAGTCATCTACACAAACTTGAAATCAGAGCAGACCTATCCTGTTCTGTGTAGCAATGACAAAGGAATCTGTTGTGTATGGGGAAACCAACCTTTCACACCCCACTAGAGACAAAGGAGCCAGCTAAAGAAAATTTAAACAGCAGCTCCTGGATCTTCACAGTGCACTCTTTAAAAGTCAGCAAAATGATTAAACCCCTGCACTTGCCCTCCTCTGCTTCTAGACAGCATCAACATTTCCTTAAGTCAAGACAGCATAGGCAATAGAAAGATCTAAATCTAAAGCCAACAACCAGAATCCTGTCAAGAATAATTACATTTCTGATGCTGCTGATTCACTGTTCCTGTTTTCACTGTTCCTACTGAAGGATACTCTGTATCAAGGTATATAAACCTGAAGATTGTTGCAGTAGCTCTCAGAGTAAAATCTGTTTCCAGGTTCTAATCTTTACTTAGATTATCTAATAAACCCTTTGCTTAACTATCATTCAAACTTTTATTATAGTCACTATATCTATTGAGTCGAAGTATCAGTGAGCAAAAAGAAAAAAATATATACCAAATCCAGTATTTAAAATATTTAAGGACATCATATGGAAAAATGACTCATTGGGGACAACAGTCTTAGGTCCTGTAGTGTGTGACCCAGATTCTTACCCTAGCCATCAACTTCTTTCAGGAATGAAGCACACATTCCCCCAACTGCAGGGGGGGCTGGTGATTGACAGTCTGCAACTGATTTTCTCTCCAATCATCACCACAATATTGTCCTGCAGATGGGATAAACTCTGCTTGACATCATGACCTTTCTGGGTGTAACCCACACTCAATGATTACTCCCTTCTCCCAAGATGGGGAAATTCTGGTTTTTTTTTTAAAGATTTATTTATTTATTTATTTATTTATTTATTTATTTATTTTGTGTAGAACTAGGGTGTAGGTCAGAGGTGCAGGGGGTGAGAGGATTCACCAGAGAGAGTGGAGAACAGAATGGGAATATCTACTGGGAATGGGAAATACACTGCTGAGGGGAGCAATGGGCAAGACAGGAGCGGTGCCTGTACCATGTGGGTTAGCTCCCTGGCCTGGGGTGGAACTCAAGCCATAGTGGTGATAGTGCTAAGACTTAACCCGTAGGCCACCAGGGATGCCCCTAACTTCGGACAATTCTGAAGGGACATTCCAGTTCAAGAGATGCTCATGGAACCAATTAACAGTTTTGTTATGGCTACTTCATGGTCCGGCTTTTTCTTTTATTGATCATCCCTTTTCCCCTTTTCCCAGGCCAGGATGATCCTTAAGAGCATGTAGATCCCAATTCACTCCCTAAAAACAAATCTCCATCTCAGAGTCAGATACCTACCTGGGGAAACCAACCTGCAATAAGATTCTACAGAGAAAAATTGTTACAAAACATTCCAGAAAGAAAATGACAAGGTAATTATGAAAGAGTAGCCATTTGATGATTTATACAAAATGGAAAAAAAGCATACTCAAATAAAAGGAAATGTCACTAGATGTAGATGCTTAAAATAGAATTTAATTATCATAGGATTGTATTTCTTTTTTTAAATATTTATTTATTTATACAAAAACTGGGGTACAGGCCAGAGGCTCCGGAGGTGAGAGAATTCACCAGAGACGAAGCTGTGAGCAAAACAGTGGGCGAGACAGGAGAGGTCTGCTGTGCCATGTGGGTTGCTCCTTGGCCGGCTGGGAATGGAACCGAGCTACAGAGGCTGCGGGCAAGCTTCACAGAGCTGCACTCAACCCGCTGCGCCACTGGGGAGGCCCAGGGTTGTATTTCTTTCACTACAGTTTTAAATTCAGTGTTTAGGATAAATGGCTAAATACTATAAATATTACCGTGATCTTAAAACTAAAAATAATGCTTTTATTGTTCTTATACTTTGGCTCGACCTGTAACGGGCTTCTCCATAAAAGGAGGAGATGTCATGTTCCCCAACACCACTTAACGAGGGTCAGGACTCAGTGGCCATGTGCAGCTATACAACATGGAAGGCAGGTGGGCTCTGGAGGAGGCACTTAGAAGAGAAATGAGAGAGAAAACTGGCTAAGAAGGGCACTTGCTTCTTGCCTTTGGACTTGCACTGGCAACGTCGGGCCTTGGAGGAGACATGTGAAAGAGAGATGTGTGGAGACACTTAGGAGAGACATGTGGGTGAGACTCTAGAGTCATTATCTCAAATTGCACTTTGATTTTCCTCCTTTCATCCCAGAATTGCTTGGCCCTTTTGTCCCTTTCTTATTGTTCCCTGCCAGAAGGTGTCTTAGACTTGTGGCAAGCTTTGGGGTCTCAATGACCATGATTTGGGCCAACCCTATTTGGCTAGGCATTTACCCACAAGGGGATGGGTGTTTTATTGAGAAACCACTGTCCTTTCTCCCCTCTTTCATGGACATTAATTCCTATGTCCTATGTCAAAGGATAGCCTAAGATTCTTCTTTGTATCTGTGCTTAGGAATGTCCAGACCCCTTTAGAACATGCAAGTTTGGGGGCCCCAGGGATTCCCCTTGGTCATGTGCTAACAGATTCATAGTAAAATTGGAAAACTAGCTTCATATCAATTGTGAAATGTATAGGATTTCACTTTTAAAGATAACACAAACAAACTTTAGGAAAGTCAAGAGAACATACAAGGTTGGGCAAATCACTATATGATTAATCTTCTGAAAAGTAGAATCAAATAATAACTTTAAAATTAGTAAACCATGAAAAAATAAAAAGATTTATTTTAAATATATCAAAGAAATAAAACTCAGAAACTATGAAAAGAAATGAAATATCTAGAGTAGAAATGGATATAGACATGTAAGGAATATGTACTCTGGATTTGAGTCATCTATACATTTTTTTAATTCTGTAATTACTTTTATATTTAAAATATAACTTTAAAAAAATTAAAGCACACCCTTACCAACAAAAGACTGGGTAAATAAATTATAGTGAAGTAAATTTTAACAGCCACTTAAATCCCTCAATTTAAATAATGCTCATAACTTCTGAAAGTGCTTTCACTTGTTGAAGTAAAAATATTTTATTGATCACTTCTTCTGGGCAAGCCACTGCTTTCCCTATTAACTTATTTATTTTCATTCCTGAGACAGGTGAGGAAAAATGTATTTTTGTCCTTTCAACATTTAAAAAAAGTAAAATAAGGAGAGAGTAAGTTGCTTTGCCTGAGGTTAAAATACTAATCCTGGTGATGCTGCAGCTTCTGTCTTCATTTCCCCTACCCAAGACTTCTGTGGCTAACCTCAGTTCCCAAACAGTGGGAAATGGGTGGTAACCAAAAATTGTCAGAAAAGTGTGTTTGAGAAATGCATAATGTGATAAAGGGAGAACTGGGAAATGTACATGTAATATTTTCTACTTGACTTTTACTTACCAGGCACTGTGATAAGTGCTCACACAGATAAAGTTTCATTAACCCTCACAACAACCTCTATAAATAAAACAGTACTGTCATAAGTTACCTCATTAGAACAATTAGGCTCATACTAAATAAATTACTTATGAGAATCCATACAGAAAAAGACAAAATTATCCTGTTCTGAAACTTGTGTTTTCTTCTATGTAGAGTTTCTCAACCTCCACATTATTGAAAGTTTTGGCTGGGTGATTGTCCTGGGTGTTATAGAATATTTAGCAGTATCCCCAGCTTCCATCCACTAGATGCCAGCAGTATCTTCACCTCTATTGGTGACAACCAAAAATACTTCCAGATGTCTCCAGGGAATGGATGGAGGTGATATAGCTTTTGGAGTTAATTGGTTTAGAGAGTGGGGTCCTTGGATTCACTCTGGTAAAGGTTTTGTTACAGGGCATGGAGAGGGCCACCCCAGACCCCGCAAACCTGCCTGCTCTAAATAGGTTTTGTCATCTGCCACATTAACACAAAACATATGAGACTTTAATGAAAAGGAACTTTGCTACAATTAGTAAATGATACAGGAAAGGCAAGGAATATAGTTTCTAAATCTGCACCCGAAGTTACCCGTCCCCTCGTGGGTAAAAGTCCACCCACAAGTCTAAAGCACCTTCCAGTGGGGACCCACAGAAAAGGATCAGAAACAATCAAACAAGTCTGGAAGGAAAAGAGCAAAATCAAAATCAAGACAAAAGCCACCGTTGTCACCTCCCCCCGGGTCTTTCACCCACATCTGTGTCACCCAGTCCACGACCAAAAGGCAAGCGCAGTTTCTTTACCTGTTTCTCTGCTCCATATGCTTCCTCCAGGTCTCCTTCTGGCTCCATCCTTCCTCAGTCTCCTCTGCAGTTTCTTGTTCTCCTTGCTCAGTTACACCCTCCCTTGTGGGGCAGGAAACCTGGAACCTCCCTATTTCTTGGAGACCACCCTGTTACAGTTTCGCTAGAACTCCCCTTTCAGCAGCATGCAGCGAGTTTCCCAGGCCAGTTTCTCCAAGAGCAGAGCCATTAGTTATATTTAAAGAGCAGGTTTTTTAGAAAAGGGACAAAAGAATAAGACACTTGCATAGATACAAGCAGACGGGAAGAGCTGCCCCGAAAAGGACACGTTTGCTGAGAGAGGCCTGCATGGTTGCAGGTGGGTGGCCTTGAGGGGAGCTGCTTTTGCTGAGGGAGATCAGTGAAGAGTAGTCCCAGCATGGTACAGGTCATGGGCAGGCAGGAAGCTGCTGCCCTGCAGAGGGAGTTGATGAAAGAAAGCACCTGCGTAATCACAGGTGGGCAGAAGGACTGCTGCCCCATGTCAGTGCGGAGATGCCACTGACATAGACTCCTTTTCTTTGGGAGGGGCTCACTCCTTGTGAGTGGTGGGTTAGTTGCTGATTTTGGATAACTATCTTGGATAACTATTTTGGATTAGAATTAGAAAGGAACCGGTGATTCTACAATGAGCTCAATCTCCATATCTTTATCTTTGGGGTTTGTGCTCCTGACACCATCTACAGCAGTAGCAGTCCCATACCTGATTGCATTTTATGCTTTGTGATCTAAGCATTAGTTCCTACAGTTGGGTTAATGGCTATGTTAATCCCTTCCACCCCCACCTCTAGCTCGTGGCATTGTTTGAGCCAGGTTTCTGGTCTTGTGGCGCCTCCTTTCCAGTTTGTCTATTTGTAACAGGGTGGTCCCCAGGAAAGGGGGAGGTTCCAGGTTCCCTGCCCACCCAAGGGAGGGTGGAGCTGAGCAGGAAGAGAAGAGGATGCAGAGGAGACTGAGGAAGGAAGGAAGCAGGATGGAGACCTGGAGGAGGCGCATGGAGCCTAGAGACACGTGAAGAAACTGAGCTTGTCTTTTGGTTGTGGACCGGGTGACACAGAAGTGGGTGAGACCCATGGGGAGGTGACAGTGGCAGCTTTTATCTTGATGTTGATTTTGCTCTTTTCCTTCCGGGCTTGTCTGGTTGTTTCTGACCCTTTTCTGTGGGTCCCCACTGGAAGATGCTTTAGACTTGTGGCAGGCTTTGGGGCCTTGCTCTGTGCCAATTCTGCTTGGCTGGACTTTTACCCACGAGGGGACGGGTAGCTTTGGGTGCTTCATTTAGAAACTAGACTCTTTGCCTTTCCTGTATTGTTTCCCAGATTTATTAAAGTTCCTTCCCATTAAAGTCTCATATGTTTTGTGTTGATGCGGCGGATGGCAGAACCCATTTAGAATAGGCAGGTTTGCGGGGTTTGGGCTGCCCCTCTCCCTGTCCTATAACATATTCTTTTTTTTTTTTAAGATTTTATTTATCAAGAACTGGGGTGTAAGCCAGAGGCGCAGGGTGGGTGAAAGTATTCAACAGAGACAGAGTGGGGAGCAGAACAGACAGATGTACTGAACTACACTGCAGAGGGGAGCAGCGGGCGAGGCAGGAGAGGTCTGCTGCACCTTGTAGGTTTCTCCCTTTTCTTCTGAGGATCCAACTCGTGCTGCAATAGCTGGTGATAGCTTGAGAGAGCTGTCTTTATCCCCTGCGACACTAGGGAGGCTCCAAGCCTCTGGACTTTGATCCATTCACTGTCTGATCCTGAATACAATCCCTCCTTAATGTCCTATCCGGAGAACAGATAGACTTTGGGATAAAGCATTCTTTGATATACTGTCTTAACATCTCACCATTGCTCATCCACTTCCCTAAACCTGTTTGTGTGTAGCTTTGTTTACTATTCTTTATAAGAAAACACTTTCTAACTTCTGAGAAGCTGACATATCTCATGTTTAGATGTTCTTCCTACTGCAATATTCCCCTTCCTGTTATTGCAATAGTTTTTTCCCAACTCCTTTGTAATAATGTTTTGAATAAAGTTTCTGTTTACCTAGACCTGGTAATAACAAAAACAAATGCTGATTTCTTTATATCTCTCCCAATAAAAAGAATGAAAATGCTGCATTTGACCTAAAGCAGAATTCTTATTTTAAAAATATATGTGGAATATACATTCTAAATATGTAATAGTAAAAAAAAAAAGCATTTCCTTCAGTGACTTCAAGGTTGCTAATATTCACAGCCTTCAAAGTGAACTTGTTTGGAGCCCTCAGGCCAGACGCATGATGAAATAGCTACCCAAGAACTAACATCTATGGATTTGTCAGCTTGGGACACAATTGACATGTCAGCTGAGTATTAAAGTGGCCGAAGTATTGCTGGCTGGAGTGAGTGACTCTAAATGAGAAACCAGTGTGATGAGATTCATTGCCTGAGGCACAGAACCTTTGCTTAAACTGCATCCCAACGGTCTGGATTTATGAGAAGCCAACTTGTCTCCAAGAAGAGTCTCAGCGATAGAGAAATGGCTCACCATTGACAAGGTTAGTTCAAGGGAGCAGAAGGGCAGTGGAAATAAATGCAAAACTTGATCTGCCATGGAAAGGTTACTGTTTGTGGCCATGTCAGGACTATTCCCCAAGTCCTGTGGCCACTTTAATTTATTCCGTAATTGAATAGGGAGCTGAGCCAGTATGAAGGTGAGGGTGATGGAGGGAGAAACAGGGGAGAAAAAATAGTTCCACCAGTAGCTGAATTGTCTCTACAATAATTTTGTAGCCATTTCCTGTTTTGCTAATTATAGCCTTCAAAATATTTAGCTTCTCAACCTGATTTTTGGAATTCGGTCAAATTCTTCCTCTATTTCTTAGGACTGAATTTATCCCAATTTTTATTATATTTTTTTGTTGCTATTTTAACACAAAACACCTTGGTGACATAAATAAACATTGTTGTTTTTCTTACACACAAGCAGTGTTACCCAAGTGAATGAAAATACAATACGCCATGGTTGATAGAGAAGGGGGATTGCCGCAGCTCCTAATACAATCTGTCAGTCAATCTCTAAATCTCCCATCCCCAATTCCCAGTCATACATTCACCCTCTTCCAGTGATATGTGACCACACTGACATTGTCATTGATATTTTTGGACAATATTGATTATAAACTCAAGAGTATTTAGAGGCCTAAAAACAAATACATGAGTACTGTCATTATTGATAGACCACAGAGATATGTATTTTGTATGGTTTGTATATTGTTCAATAATTTGAATTATATATCTAAATTTAATTGAGTCTTGAAATTATTGAATTTCTGATTTTTCTTCCTTTATCAGTAATAATTATAACATGTTTCAGTGAAGAAACAACTGCTTAACCTTTGTAGTTCTTCCTTGTTAAGGGGGCATATGATTTTATATTCACCAGTCTACTGGATTACACCTGTCTGTTCAGTCCATTGATATTACTTGCCAAGCCCTTCTTGGAATCTAAGATTGAAAACTGTGATCAGTTCATCCTGCTCCAGATTCACAGATCTATAATTTCCTTCCTGTATACATTTCATCATCAGTTAAGATACACACATACAAAGAATGGGTGAGTTTTTTTCCCCAAAAAGATGAATATCTGAAGAGGGTATTGTTTTCAGCTGGGAAATAGTCTGGTGAAAGAGAAAATCAGGACCATGAGAACTAATGGGTAAATTAATCCTACAAGATAAGACTAACAATAACAACTATGAAAATATTGTTTTTATATGGCATAATCTGAAAAGATTATGTTGGTCAAAACATATACAATTCAATAATTTGCAATAAAATACATGTCCTTCAGTTTTCTTTACTCTTCCAAACAAAAGAGTGAATATTAACATGTCCTTTTCTTAAAAAAAAAAAAAAAAAAGCCTTGTTTTAAATTTTCCGAGTTCAGGTTTTCTTTAGAAGTCTGATTCAAAATGTTCTATAAATCTTTTGAAATTATAATAAGACAGTAATGGAACAAATCATAAGTACTATAAAATTGCCTTAAGCATTATATTTTCTAGAAATTAGCATCTTAGATACATTTTGAGTTTATGATCAAATGGTAATGTACAAGAACATTTTGACTTAAATTGGAAAAGATATTGTGCTCTCTCTATATATATCACAGCACATGTCTGACTCCTGTCTGTCTATCTATCTCATCTGAGTCATTGTTAAAATAGCACCAGCCCAAATTCATGGGTCTGGCTTTTAAAACATAGATTTTAAGTTTCTAGTTACCTGATATATAGTCAAGTTTATGCCCGGACTTAAAAATGAAATAAGACCTAAGTTGTAATCAATCAAAAAAAAAGTTTTTATTGTTTGTTCTTGAATGTATTTACCATTGACTCTCTGGGTTTCCTTGCTACTACTAAATAATTTACTTTTAAGCTTTGAATTATAGTATTTAAAAAAAATCCAGCTTTGTAAACACTTAATTAGACTAAGCAACAGATTGTCAGATAGTTGGTTTCTGTTCCCTTCAAATTATAACACACACCCACCCACACACACACAAAAGTAACACAAAAGTTATCAAGACAAAATGATTCTATATGTCTGCCACCTCAAAAATTATATTTTAGTTATGATAATATTTGTTAGAGATTATAGGAATAAGTAGAGATTATAGGAATTTAGTGATTTGTTGAGAATCCATATTCCAATGCAGTTCTATTTTAAAGTAATTTTTTCATCCATTCTAATATGTACATACAGTTTTCTCTTGAGATACTGTCCTTGCATTGGTTGCCAAGAAGGCCATCTTGTAGGAAATCAGTCATTGTAAGACACTTGCACAGAATAAAATATATCCCCTTGCTGTTTCACTATAAGATGCTGTCTGTGAAAATTATCAGTAATTCTAAGCATTCACACAATCACTGTTCAAAGTGACATTATCTGAGACATAACATTGACAGGAAGAATCACAAAGCAGTAAGGGAGATAAAGTAATTTGCAGAAGTACAGTAGACCATCACAATGATGCCAAAATAGCTTTACGTGATGGAAATATGTGTATGATCATGTCTTTAGAACTAGGAAATAAAGTTTAAGAAATTGAGTGGTGTCAAGAGTTCATCCAACCTCTACTTTAAAGCATCTAAATTACACTAAAAAAGAAAGATTAAAACCCTCGTGTCAGCAAAGTTTTCAAGAAGTTTTACTTATTTAGAGTTCTTTTTTTTTTTTTTTTTTAATAGAGGCATGTTTTATTTATTTATTTATTTATTTGTTTGTTTTGTTTATACATGCACTGGGTACAGT